AGTAGGTGGCAACCGCCTCTGACAGCTTTGTAACATGTTACGAAGGCACCAAAGCTACATAGTAAATGTTCAAATGGTTGCTAGATTCGAATTCAGCTCCAAAAACTAGCCTAGAGACATGTAAAACTCGAAAAAGTGAACCAAGGTCATCAAAGGTCAATGACCTTACCTGACCTTCTGGTGACCTTGACACCCATTCTAATGCATGGGAGCAACATAATATCCCATGTTTGAACGCTTTAAACCAAGAAAAGACTGCAAACCCGCGGCTAATGCGAGCCGACATACGCTGAATCGCGATTCCGGCCAAACATGGTCTCGAAAGAAGGTCACGGGTCAAAGATCATGAAGGTCAGGGTCATGAAATTTTCAGCTTAGCTGTAAAAGTAGTTATCGCGAGGGTACTGAAAGTTTCGTTGCGATCGGCCGCTTTTTACGTGAATTACTCGCGAAAAACCAAGGGTTCCGTTCGAAGATTCAGGCCCTGTCGCGCTAGAATGGCATATCGGCCCACTGTGCGGCGTCAGGTCGCGCAGCAAAGGCGGCCCCAGGCGAACGCCACCGGGAGGCAAACACATCGCCAGTAGCATGACGAGGGTTGACTGCGGACGCCCGTGACACACCTCTATAAAAGCACTTCAAATATGTAAAAGGTGACCAGCTGGTACGTTCGCGAGGAATGCCTACACGACACAATGTGAAACGACACAATGTGAACTGGGCGAAGCACCTCCACAAAATTATACGGAATTCGCGACAACAACCCCTCCACCGGGAACCACCACGTGGCAGTGAGGCATCAAAACCTACCGCTTAAAAGGACACAAGGTTAAATGATAAAGCGAGAATTAAGTGGAAGTACAAAGCCATGGGAGCGAGTGATATGTGACGCATTAAAGCGATGTGAGAAACATTTGCCCCTCCTCTTTTCCACATTAACATGACGGATGAGGTCTAGGAAAGGAATGCACCTATAACACTAAGCAGGATCAGTTTCCAGTCGCATTAGACAGTGTGGACTGTGGACACTCTTCCTTCCACCCTGAGAATAATGTCGGGAGTGGCCACACCACCGCGTCGATTGGCGAGTGGACGGCCGACCGGACCGAGGACGCGCCAGGTGAAAGTGGCCACTGGGCGTGGTCCCGAACTGGCTGAGGGTGGACCGGACACACCGACAGAGCTCCACACAGGTTCACACGTCGGGGGCTGTAGCTCAAGTGGTAGAGCGCTCGCTTAGCATGTGAGAGGTACGGGGATCGATACCCCGCAGCTCCAGCTTCTTGACCCAGGCTGACCCTTATTGGCCTACTGGTAGCAGCTGGAGAGCAGGTTTAAGCATCACGGGAGCGTATCCCACTCAACGTAAAGTTCAAACTCAACACCAAATTCACAATCTAGTGACGAAATCATGTGGAAGATAACTGTCCGCCTTGGCCACCCGTGCTTATTCTCATATTTCCGGCGGCCTGACCCAATACGAGGTCGCGCGCCGCGCGGCAAAGGCGGCCCCAGGCACGCCCCGCCGGGAGGTGGCATGGACGTCGTCTTGTGAGTGCGCAATGCGCATGAAAGTAGACAGTCGCAGCCGCCTAGCAACGAAGTCATGGCATATGCTACAATCAAGGATGTTAATTAGCAATAGCAATCACGAATAAGGATGGCTGTAGCTGAAATGTAACCTGGGAAAACCAATCCCAAATAATCCCACCCGAGACCTTTTTCGGACGCAAGTTATAAACATATCACTTGCAAAGGAATATTGTAGGCCTTTATGGAGGAGAGGACAGGCTATAAATGAGGGATATAAGGTAAGATGGAGCCATTCAAACTAGGTTTTCAACGCTGTTCCAAGCTGCATCATCGAGAAAGACCTTATAAAACAAAAACATATGGATGTTTGGTTAACGAATTTCCTTTGGCATTGGTGGACTTCAGTCACTTCTCTGTAGACATGACAAAAAAGTCGATCAGTTGTTAGTCAAGCTCCCCAGCATGCCCCGATAATGAGTAGTTCCTCTGAGAAGTCGTGGAACTTTCACTCGGAGGAGCGAGCCACACGGGCGCCATCTATTCGGTTCGACCCTGCAGCGCTGGACGTCACAGATGGAGCCGAGTCAAAACTGGCCTCGCAGCGCCGATAGTGGCACTCGGCGGAACCGAATGCCAGGTTTCATAGAAAGGATGCAAGCGGTGCCGTTTTTACACGTTTGGGGTCAAGCCAGAACATGTTTCAACTCGCTCCTCAAAGGAAAATTCAAGAGGAAAAAAGCCTAAATCTCATAAACGATTTCAGCCTGTGTGTTTTACGGATGCCAGTGATGAAGGCTATTATCATTTCGTGTGATTGTCTTGCAAATTGCAATGCAATATTGGATACGCCCATAACTCGAAGTTGATGAGAAAAATAAACGATCAGCTAGGGTAAATAAACAAGGGTAGCACCAAGGAAGAACCATATTATCCCTGCAGCCTGTACATACGAGTAAACGCCAAAAAACAACAGAACGGCGCATGTCTGTCGACCAGCTGAATGAGACGTCTACCGCGCCCGGCCAGACCGCATTGCATCAGCGGGCTTGGCCGCCCGGATGGCGTTGACCTCTGTGTGCTGAGATCTGTGTCATTTGCCGACGAAATGAACCAGCACCAATCTGGAACCAGATGGCTCGGTGGCCATGTGGGGGTTTCCAAAAAGTACGCGTAGTTGGAAATAGGAAGCAATCTGTAGATATTTCATATTTGTGTGCCACCAAGGAAAATTTGGTTTCTGATCCTTACATACCTAAATTCAAATAGGCGGTTGGGTTATGTGCGTCACGTTTAGGTATGAGGTAAGGGTCTAACCCACGAGTCGCCGCGCTGGGGGGGATAAAGTTGCCCCATTTACGTTTTGTGAGATATCTCCGAAACCTGATAAGATATAAAGTTGAAATTCGGTATAGCTTTAAATGAATATCTGGCCAATATTTAAGGAAATTTTGGTGGTTGTAGCATTGAAGATGACGTCACAGTGACGTCATAAAATTCTGCCATTTTCTCGTATATGTAGAGCGTGTCTGTTGTCACTGAGCATGAAACGCAACGGTAAATGAACCAAACAGCACCTGCTGTTCAGTTTCACCCTGACACATCTAAGTACCATTTTAACTGGTTTCTGGCCAGTTTTCTGACCTATATATTCGGTCGTATAATTCGGATATATCGTCAGGAATCAAACCTATGATTCGACTTCTGACATCACCGGTCACTGTGACGTCATTGCAAATGGGATCGATACCAAATATTGGTTAGCTATTCAGGAATATGTGTGCAAAGTTTCGCTTCATTATCTTTACGCATTGCGACGATATTGTCGTTGAAGTAAAGGGGGGGAGGGGTGCAACTAGTTGACCCCTTCCCCCCAGGTGCTGGCGGGTGGCGCGAAGGCCCAGCTGCCACCGGATTAAATTGTTTACTGTTCTAGGCTACTTTAAAGATGAAAAGGTCATAAAAAGGGCATAATTAAACGACAAGGGGTAAATGCGACATGAAATAAGATGGGAACCGCCAGCTGTTCATAACGTTTCACAAATGCTGCTCCAGCTCCGATCTCGGTCAGGTGATTGGTTGAGAGCTGCGCCAGCTCAGTCAGCTGATAATCAGCAGCTGATTGCTGAACACGAGCTGTCTCAGCAGACTCGGCAACACCCGACCCCGAGCTCCGCCAACAGCGCGCCTGACGTGTCACATTGGGCTAGTTGTCGACCACCAATAAGTTTTTAGTGTCTAAAATTATCATCTAATATCCATTATATTTCATTTGCCCATTAGCTCATCAAATTGCTGCTATCCCGTTTCTGGGTCCCGTGCCCCCTGGTTTTCACGGCCAGACGGCAGCCAGCCCCGTCTGTGTCGCCTCTGCCGGTCCGCTCGGAGGCATCTTAGCTTAGCCAGCGACGGGCCGAAGCTCGGCTAAATTGAATTCAAACTTGAGGAGGGCGTCTGGTGGCCCAAGGAGCCAGTGTTGACCCAGCCGGTCCGTCTCCCAACTGGTCTGTTTGGCGACAACACAGAGAAAGAGAGAGAGAGGGAGGGGATAGAGGGAGGGAAAGAGAGAGGGAGAGAGGGAGGGAAAGAGAGATGGAGAGAGAGAGGGAAAGAAAGAGAAAGGGAGAAACGGAAGACGGGGAGAGAGGGAGAGATGGAGGAAGAGAGGGAGATAAAGAGTAAGAAAGAGAAAAGAGAAAAAGAGGGTGGAGAGGAAGAGAAAGGAAGAAATATGATAAAACCAGATCGTGAGATCTACCATAGACAACGTGAATCAGATAAGAACTATGATGAGACTCATGTTATCTATGGAAATTCTGAACTTCCTTTTTGGAGCCACAATTCACTCTATCCTGTTATGGACACATTTAAGGTCATTAAAGAGCGTGACTACAGCGGTTTTGCCGGCCGCAATAGCGATTATCAAAAAAGTAATAGGCAATCGCAAACATCTTTTGAGCCACGGTTGTCCTAACCATTTTCAAAACATCTCTAAAAGAAGAGCAATGCATGGCTGACATGTCTTTCGCTTGGAGAGCACGTGTCACGTATAATGTAATTGAACCAGCCGATCGAATATTATTTTCCATCAGGAGAATTAACCGTATCCTGGCAGGCTGACCACTGACCAGACCCTGGCCAGGCCCCGATGACCGGCCGCCCACGCAGGTGACCTTTAAAGCCATAAGTTGACCTCAGAGGCTTCAGCCGACAGCGGGGAAGTCCGCGAGACACTGGCCGTCACCCGCCCGTGACAGCGACAGTTCAAACCCGTGTTTCTGCGCAGCCAAATTACATAACAGGTCAGCGCGCAACTACACACAACTGTCACTTCCTAATTCCTACAGTCATTTGAATGCACACCGAATCGTATTTTACGTGGAGAGTTCTCTATTCCACGTAGCTCCGCTTACTTTGCATCATCAAGCCTTCATTTCCACCAGGCCATCAAAACAACACCATTCGTCAGAAACAGTTTTATTAAAAGTCTCACCAAGCATCAGAATCACCATATAATACATAGTCGATCACCGACATTTCCACTGATCGGAGAGCGACTCGTGTCGTGTCCGCAGCCCGGTCTGACCGCGCGCCGACACCCGACACCCGATCTGACACCCGTCCGACCCTGACACCCAGCGTGACACCGACACCCTCAGCGTGACACTGACACCCTCAGCGGCGCGCAGTCGCAGAGAGCACTAGAGGTGGCAAAAGATGAAAATTTTGGGAACCAGACTCGAACCAGACCCGGCTGGACATTTCTGGAACCAGTCGGGCCCGGTCTTAGTTGGAATCGGAACCAGTTGGACCCGTTCCCCAAAAGTCAATTAATACAAACTACTTGTAGGTATCATTAGTTGCATCATGTAAAACAGCCTATTTCCCACTGGGAATACTCATGAGCTACTGTGTGCAAAGAAACATTCACTTCATTCACTTCATATTTTGCAATAATGTGTAGTGTGCAAGTTGTATAGTTTATGGTAGGACCCGGTTGGACCCGTCAGAAAATTTCCAGGAACCGGTCTGGACCCATATGGGTCCAGACTGGTTCTTTGGACCGGGTCCTCGGGTCCACATTTTGCCACCTCTAGAGAGCACATACTCGGCGCAGCAGCCAACAACCCAGACACAAGCGGCGCGACGACGGCGGTACGGGGCAGCCCGGCGCGCGGATGATATGAGAGCGGTCCAAGCCGGCGGCTTGAGCGGTGGTAAGGTGTGGTTCATGCCTCGAGTCGGTCATGGGAAAGTAAGTTGATACAGCTTTTTGGTTGCTGGTTCCAAAATGTTTAAACCATCCCTAACGTCATGTTCGGTTGTTTTAGCGACCTTTTATCGACATTCAATAAAATATTTCATATATTTTTATTCAAACTTCAACTGCAACTGTCGTGACGTTGGTAACACATAATACAGACGGTTTCTACTTCTCAGGATGCCGTCTGATAGCCCAATGTCCATGTCCATGGCGGGGAAGTCCCAAAAGGTCAAACTTTGTTCCTTGTGCTAGCCCAACGGCTGTAGCAATAACAGTTTAGCAAATTCGGACCATCTTGCCTAGTATAACGACATACACTGTCGTTTCACTGTTTAAATATGATCATAGCTGAGAGTTTTCAAGGGGAGAACGAATTCCAAACGGTTGAGATGATTCAGATCTGTGATTTGGATAACGGCTTAAATAGATAATCTCAGAAATTAACTTCACGTAACAAAGTGCGACTCTAGCATACCTTCGAGATCTCTATACATAAACTAGGCCAGTGTGAGAGCAAGAGGCCCAACAGCTATCAGCAGCTGATTATAGTAGCACTTGAAAAGATTTAGAGCCAGAGGGCTGGACGCCGAAAAAGCACCGATAAAACCAAAGATACTCATTTGTTGCGAAATGGGGTCAAATGTCTGCATTTGTGTCCGGCTGCATGTGTAGGTGCGTCCATGCATCATTCTACGTTTCTGGAATCAGCCACTTTCGATGCAGAAAAGGTCGTGGGTGGTAATCAATGAGGTAAAGCGACTCGATGATTTTCTTTTTGTGTGAAAATAAACTGACTTGGCGCCTTAATAATTATTAAGGCGCCAGTAATGCATCGCATGCTACACCATCGAATAAAATCTCCAATCAAACCCACAACCTTCCGAAGCGGAGTATATGACAAATGTGCACCTGCAAGCATGATAGAACAATGTAAGCACCGATCAACACACAAACAGCTGTCATTGAAAACATACCTCCTTGTGAGCAAATGAGCGCTTGTCTCACCACACTTTGCGCACCGCTAGCGTATAACCTAAGCACGCACCCACATCAACCAGTACAAACAGAACAGTCAGCAAGCGCCAAGTAATCCGCCTCAAGCCAAGGTGTCCGCATGACACAGTGTCGAGCCGGCGCATCCAGTGCCCGCGCCAGCGACGTCGCAAATCGCCCTCCCTCTACCTAGAATACCTTCCACGAGCAGCACGATCCGCCCTACTACATAGTCTACGCCACTCTCACTTCAGCCCGTACTAGTTCGTGCAGCAGCTCACACTGTGAAAATGATCGCGACCACAAGAGAACCCCTTGGCCGCGGACTGGCCCACACACATGAGTAACAAGTCAATGGATATCACAAGGTGGCGGATGTGTCATTTCTCACTGCAGAAGACAAGCGCACTCATGCCTCTTCGCATGCAGTCTCTCTTTCTCTTTCTCTCCGCGACATAGCTTATCAGCACTCTCTTGTACAGTCTGTCTTAAAAGTACCGCGCAAAGTGACGATGGATCCATCGAGCCTGACTGAGCAAGGGCCTGCTGAATTTGGGTCACTGAAGCAACTGACATCCTTATCCATTCCCTAGGTCAATTGGTCGGTGACTTTTAAATTAAAACAGGCCCTTTCTCGGTCAGGCTTGATGGATCCACCGCCACTTTGCGCGGTACTTTTAAGACAGACTGTACAAATGTTCCTCCTACTCGACACAAAGCACAGTGAATGCAAACACACACGCTCACATCGCTGAAGGCATCCTCGACAACCAGCACGTGGCGCACACGTGGGCGCACGTAGTACGTGCCACTCACGGCCACGCGTGATGCCCGCCGCGTGGGAGGTGTGCACACAAGAACGAAAACACGCTCTCCGGTGTAAAAGTGGCTGAAAATCGCGTGCGATCAGAGACATTTCGACACCGACCCAGATCGCAACTTTTTCAGCTGAGCAGACGCCACGAACGTGAGAAGAGCTCTCTCGCAGGAGCTCACCCCACAAGAGGTCCCTCCCATTATCCCCAGCATACACCTGACACGCTCCGTCTGTCCCTCTCCTGTCCGAGTGTCCGATCCATCAATAATATTCACTTCACACAGAGAAAGCGGGTCCCAACTCCAACACTGGCCCGTCTATGCGTGTGCGAATGTGAATGTCGGCTGGACCCTGGAGGAATCCGCCTCGGCGACCACCGTCCAGCCCGGCTTCGGCAGAGGCAGAGCCTAGCCCTCTACGGGCTGGCCTTGGGCCTGTCGTCGTCATCCTGGAAGATGTACGTCGACCAGTAGACCAGGTTGAAGAAGGCAAACACTAGCGGAAAGGTGATACGAGCGATCACGTCTATCCGCTTTGAGCGCGTCGGGAATCTGAGAAACAAGAATCGTCGGGTTAGACATGGGTCTGTAGCATTCTAAACGAAAATCACATGGTTAGTTTAGTTTATTTATGTCATCGTCGACGCTCAGCCCCATTTAAGGTCAACTCCAAGGATGAACCAGCATACAAGCATAAAACGCGTTCACATGCCATTGTAAATAAACTGCAACAAAAATATCAAATACAGTAAAATCGCTTTAGATACTACCGATCACAGTACTAACCGTTTGTTCATGCAATCGAGGTGCAAGTGCCAATGTGCAGTCTGCACTACACACATAACGTCTTGCATATCATGGTCTTCGCATAGACTAGGCGAGAGTGACCGATGACCATGCCAATCCATTGATAAACACATGCAGCAAACAATCATTCGGATCACACGAATATTTCTGCTCCCGAACAACGGCAACTGATATGGCACCCGCATACGTAGTAGGTACCCTGAGGCTAATGTTTTCTTTCCAGGCTGCGAACACGTGGAATAACAATAAGTCAGCTCCGATAATAAGGCAGCTGTAAAATGCATAAAAACAATACAGGCGGCTATACAAGCAGCGGCATGCGTTAGCTATATTTCAAGCAGCATTAGCTATCATATAACAAACAACATTTGTCATAACACAACAGCATAAACCTTATTATTCCTGTGCAAGGTCATCATCAGACGCGCGTTTTCCGAGAGAGATCTGTTTGGCACGCGTTGCCATTAGGCATTAGTCCATTAATCCAATAGTCTCATCATTCCATTAGGGCGGGCGGTTCCATGTCAGCCATCAATGCGAGCTTAGGCGGCGCCGCCTCTGGGATAACGGTGACAAATACGGGCGGCCGCGGACGATCGGCGGCGCGCCACTCGGCGAGCCGACGCACTCGTTGCGTCCCCCCCCCCCCCCACTGCGATTGATGCACCTCCCCCCCGGCGATGAATAGCGTGTCAATGGCAGGACGTTTGTCCAGATTAGGAACAGGGACAGCTATTTTTATGCATACTGCAGTGGAGTGAGATATATCACTGTTACAACAGGCATGCATTTTCACTGCACGGATGTCCAAATTGTCTCGTGTACCAATAAGACAGGTGCAGCGTTTCGAAGCTCATTATTGATGGGCCGCAATGCCAAAATTTAATCAAAGGACTCTCTACATAACACGCAATGCTCCTATCGGTTTGCAAAAAAAACCTAAATATCATGCTGTTTTCTGCGATAACTGATTAAAAACACACCGAAAAATGTTACTCCCGAGATACGACCCCACAAACTCGCATACGAGGTCGCCGTCATCTCTGACGGGGCACGTCATCGTATCGTTATCGGGACGTAACAACCCGGCGGCGACAACGGCGCGCGAGAAAAACACCTCCGCTGCCGGCCCACCTCATTATTGATCTGTCTCGGCCGGCCGCTCCGACCCGCCCGGTCGACAGCCGCGGTCAGCGTGTTCCCCCGGGGTTGGGCGGTGATACCGCCTCTGGCTACTGATTGACATGCGGTGACCGGTGATAGGGCCGACGGCGGCAGTGCGGGGGCGGCCCACACCCGCTGGTGTGCAGACGGAACCCCCACGGACAGCGGGGCATCGAGGGTAGCGGGGAGGAGCGGGGGTGTCGCAGCGCCGCGTGCGCACACAACGTGTCATCGACCATATATTGGTGCCGATTTCAGATAATTGGGAAACCGAAAAACGAAACCCATGTAAGCAAAAAGCATTAAATATGGCAAGAGACAGAAGAGAAGAGTACCGGAGTAGAGAGTACATACCAGATCCGAGTAACAGGATATGGTGGGTAGCTAAATTCTTCACAATTTGACAGTATTCGCGCATTTCAAACTAAATCACCACGTGAATAAGAAAACACAATGCGCCACGACAAACTCGGTCCAAAAGTAGACACACACGCCTTGCAAAAGAAGAATCCAATGCCCGAAATTCACCCACGAGATTCGTTCAGCTATTCATCGGGCGTGGTGCATCAATCCCACTTTTTTACCACCAGAGCCGGCCGTCCAAGAATAGCCGCCTCTCGCGTCAGTTTTGGGACGCCCATCGCATACAGTGTGCCTACGTTACGGCCGATCGGAGACTCATTGAAACCCCGCTCAGAGCGTGTGGTGACCGGAGCTGGCGGCGGCCGCGTCCGACCGACACCGCAGCGACAGATTGACGGGCCGCCGCCCACCGCCCAAAACCCTCCATCGGCCATCGCCCAAAAACCCTCTGCCCACCGCCCCAAACCCACCGGCAAACATCTACCGACCGTCTGCCGCCCACTGCTCTCTGCTGCACGGCCCAGCGTCCACCGTCCACCGCCCACCGTCCACCGCTCACCGCCCACCACGCGGTCGCCGACCACCGCCCAATCGCTCTCCGCTGTCCGCCCTCCGCCGGCGCAATGCACTGGACGTTCTAGGACAGTTATTTTCACCAAGTACATACGTACCTACCCGGGACCCGTGAAGTTCAGGAATGCCATGCCATGCCATGGTGAATTGATAGGGGATGAAATAAATTTCACATAACAACCGTTCGTATGTTCTTCATTTTAGAATATGCAAGAATATATGCAACATTACATCTAATTACTCTGTATTGCATTGCGGAGATCCATAAAATACGCACGCATCAAATAAACTACCTCGATTGTTTCGAATATTAAACTCAGTCAAAGTTCCTTATTTTATGGTCACTTTTAATGGTTACATATCCAAGAGGTAGTCCAAAGACCGAAGAGACAGACCAGGCAGAGGTAGAGGTACATAGTATTCCGATTAGAGGTGGCAAAAAGTGAAAATTTCGGGAATCAGACTCGAACCAGACCCGACTGGATATTTCTGGAACCAGTCGGACCCGGCCCAAGTTGGAATCGGATCGGAACCAGTTGGACCCGTTCCCCAAAAGTCAATTAATACAACCTATTCGTAGGTAGCATTAATTGCATTATGTAAAACAGCCTTTTTCCCACAGGAAATACTCCTGAGGTACAGTGTGCAAAGACACATACTTGACCAAATGTTTTCTTTCCATTCACTTCATATTTTGCATCATTTGTAGTGTGCACTGTGCATGATGTATGGTAGGACCCGGTTGGACCCGTCAGAAAATTTCCAGGAACCGGTCTGGACCCATATGGGTCCAGATTCTTTGGACCGGGTCCTCGGGTCCACATTTTGCTTCCTCTAATTCCGATCCATGGTGTTTACATTCACGGATAAAAAACGACCTTAGCTGCGCTAGGCACATTTGTCTCTTTCTTCTCGTTTGAACGCCCCAGCAGCAAGTACGAACGGGCCTGGATAAGAGAGATATGCGTGAGCCAAGGCGGCGTTTGTGCTTTCTTTCTTCATCCAATACTGATATCGTTTGAGCAGTTTTGCTACCGGAGAGTTTAAGAGGATCTGGAACACTGATGGAAAAGCCAATAAGGGATTTGCATCACAAATATTCCAAATATAAGAAAGAGCCAGATGGTATGAAATTCAAGAACGCGCGGCGTCGAATTTGAGGTAGATAGACTGTACCGCAAAGCACCAAGTGGTGCGGTACAGCCTACATACCTTCCAGAGCCCGCCGAATTTCTGCGGCTGGATGAAACAAAGCGGGGAGGGAGGAAGCAAAGTATTCCACTATTACTTGACAAATAGAACTGTCCCATACGATGTGAATAGGGGCTCATTTCCCGCAAGGAATAACACTTAACCCGGCAGTTGCTGGGGTATTTCGCCACCCGCCGTTTGCTGGGGAGGGGCGTTAAACGCCCCCAGCCGATAACTCGAGAACCAATGGGCGCAGCGAAACGCACGAAGCGGCAAACGAAAGAACGCGACGAGACGCTTCAGATGAGTGCTTGAAAGTTGAATTTCGAGGTCACAGGTCGGGTCAAGGTCAGGTCAAACACCTGAAATCGGGCTTTCGGTAGCATGGACTTCAGAACCTCGTAATGGGCGCCCCTCGTCAATAGCTCAATCAAAACTGTGCACAATCCTTCATATAAGTGCTACAAGAGTGTCAGATTCATGTAGGGGTCGGTCAAACATAGGTCAGGGTCAAGGTCAGGTCAATCAGGTAAGAACATATCCCCGAAAATCTAAACTGGTATTCGCAGTCTATGATACATGTTTTATGGGTAATTTTGGGCGAAGAACACGTTGGTGACATTTATAATATCATACGAGTACGCGTTTTATCGAAAAATATCAATTGAAGAAATACATGCATCATTGTCGTGAAGTCTCACGAGAAATAGCCAAGATTCAGTCCAAGATTTTGGAAAATATTGAGCGGTAATCAAAAATCGAAGATAGCCATTTGATCGTACATAACATTGGCAGTCTAGTGGCGTTTACGGCATGTCTGTATGTCTATTCTGTGATTTTATATGATTTTTCGAACATATGCCATTTTTCGTTGAAAAATCAGAAATCATGACGTCACTAAAACCTCGATATCTCAAAAAATTTACGACCGATTTTTTTGAAACTTTGGCACAATATACTTTGATTAATTCCTCGCAGGTACCCAAAATTTGGTGCGCCTACGGCGCGCCGTTTTTAAGCTACAGCGCGGCGAAAAAAGTGGGGGCGTTTAACGCCCCTCCCCAGCAACTCGCGGGTTAACTTGAACACGTTTATGCATACAAAAGTCGCACATTTGGTACAAATAATGAGGTGGCTGGGGCCGTTCGACTACGTTCAGGCCCGATCAGAGCTGTGTTTGACAGTTTTGGGAAGTTCTCAGGAGGCCTGAAAGGAGTCCAGTCAAACTGAGACGGCCGGTGAATACCCTGCCGCCGCGAGCACGTCCAGAACGCCAGCTTACCTGAGTGCTCTTCTACAAACTAGTTTAGGAAGTTCATTTTAGATGTATTGCCGCCTATGCCGGGCCTCAAACATGTCAAAGGGTCACCGCGCGCACAGGAGCTCTTGATAAGTTGAAATCTGAACAAACTGAGATATCGTGACTGCTTGCAAAATTATCTGTCGTTAAACTTGTGAGTAGAAGAAAACCATCGAACAACATGCACCACATAACAGATTACGGGCACACTGCCGCCTTAAACCATATGTGCACTGTGCAATGTGCATTACGCGTGCACCTTACATGCATCGGGACTCGGCATGCAACATCATCAATTGCTTTTCCGTGAACCACTTACTTTGAGAGCCAGCTTTGGCAGCAGCCCTGCTTTTTCCCCACTTGCATGTGGATCTCGCAGTGTCGCGCGCCCTTGTCGAATCGCCTCTCTCCTCGATGCATTAGAGGTTTCTGAAACAAAAGTTCATTTTGACAGACTCCTCTCAATTAATACTCCGGTGTTGTGATTGGTAGTTTCCACACTGCGTAAGTCTGCGAAAAATAACCAGCCGACGCCCAAACAGTATGCAAAGTTGTTTTGAAGGGAAGCTGGCTCGCACGACTTAAGACAAAGCAATCCTAATTGAGTAAAAGCAATGAATATAAAATGAGTGGCACGACCTAGTGAGTGATTGAAGGACCAGTCAGCTGAACTATTTATCGGTAACCTAATTCACGAGCACAGAGGAATGAAAAGTGAACGCTGAATAATTGAGCAAAAAGAACAAAAGGAGCTGTGTGGGCCACTTCGCTGGCAACACTAGGGCCGTTCGAAATATGTGAACATGTGAACTGATCAAAGCTGCTGGTGTTGCAGCGAAAATGCCGCTGTCAGCCGCGCAAACTTCAGTGACGCGATGGAAAACGTCTGTAATGGCCCGTTATCCCGCGCCGAGTCATCCTCGGTTGTTTGTTGTATCCCGGCGTAACCCAATCGGGTGCTGATGCAATTACCTCGGCCGACCTGTCCGACTCCGGGCGGGCTACCAGAACGGAGGGAAGCCCTAACTTTATCATCCAATGATACGCTCAAACTTCACGCAGATAGGATTTGTGCTAAAAATAAAATAATGCAAAAAAGCAAACAATTTGGCAGCTGAACAAATCATGTGTGCAGTTTATTCCATGAGACGGCAGGTGATCAGTTTTAAGCGAATACTAGCGAACATCTTTGGCGCACCAAGTCAAATATGAGTCAAACGGCCCATCTCACATATTCCCATCCGCCAGCGCAACTGACACATGAAAACGGTTCTATTGAATCTGCAACAACTCAGACGAGCTGCAAAACATCCAGAAGATCCATTCAACGAAGCTGGAAAACAAACATGCAAAAGTGCACGGAAAATCTCCAAACAAGTTGCGCCGACTGAAACACAGCGCTGCTTATGCTAGTGAGATGTTAGTGAGTGAGATACCCTCTGGGTAAAGAGTAGGTATTCAGTGTCCGGGCAAAGATTATATCAGAACCATCACAGCTCTCCAAATTACAGTGCATACTAGAGATGTCAATCGGATACCAACTTTTTGGTATACCGATACCAAACCGATACCAACTTGGTATTTGGTATTTCAATCCTAATGTTTTTGGTATTTTGTTGGTATTATGAATGCTCGCTTATGTATAAGAGGCTGTGAATTTGGTAAAAAGTTGGTATTTCCCGAATATTCCTAAGTTGGTTCGGTTTCGGTATTTTCCCATGGTTTTGGTTAGTATTTGGTTGGGTATTGGTATCCTGATTTTCTGTAATTGACATCACTAGTGCAGACGGTGACCGGAAGTGCCACTGACGCGTGCCAGACGCAGACGGCGGCGATCTGCCAACCGGGTCATGTGGGCAGAGCTCTTCTCACGGCCGTGTCACCAGCAGAGATGCGGTAACCAGGCCAGGGTCATCGCGCGCGTCCGTCGTCTCCCCGGCCACCGATCGTTGTCCACTAACGTTGACAAACAGCTGATTACCGCCTAATGACCGGATAACGGCCGCCGCTCAGCGACTGTCAGCGGGGGCGGGGGGACGGCCGGGAGACTAGCTGACCGTGATTTCAGGGTGATGGCAGTGAAAGACGGTAAGGGAGAAGGCGGCTGGATCGGAGTGGGACAGTGTTCTAGGATTTCCACTAAGCCAGTGATTGGGGTGGTCAATGGTCAAAGGCCATCCCGACCCGACCGTAAAGAGTTATTGAATGCAGCATACCTTTGTAAAGTACCGACCTTCTTGCGGATGAACCCTCTGAACCCAGTGAGCATTCCATTTCTCTAACTGTGAGACGCTGCAGTATAGCGCACACAGATTGAGGGACTCTGTAAATCACCCACGGAGCCAGTCTGTCTCAGTGTCCAGAGCACAGTTTTGAGCCCCGGCGGAAACGAGCCAGCCGACACGCCTCTCAAGTGTCAGCAGCCAGAAGCCGCCGGCAACAGGCCCGTCCGGCGGCCGGCAGGAAGGGCAGTCGACATCCAACACTGACAAGACTGAGGCGCAGTGGGCGAGAGTCCATTTCGTGACCTTATGCATACGCGATGGAAGTTTTAGCTCACTTGACCCCCGTCACCCGCAGACAAACCACGGAAGGAGTCCGCTGGTGCAGCTCGGTATGCCAGTGACGGCAATGTCAGCGAGAGAATGCACATTACACAATTTCAGAGTTGAAAAAGGATTAAATGTTACGGACAAACAGCCACAGGACTGAAAACGAAAAAAAAAACTTTGCATCACGTAGCTTATGCTCGTGATCCGCATTATGTATTAAGGCCTGGCTACACTAAGCGTTTTCTGCGTGCGTTTTTTGCGTGTTTGCGGGTTTTCGTAATATCGTTCTAGAAAAAAGGTTATTATTAATTTAACTTCTTTAATGTTTATATAAAAGTTAATAAAACGTTTATGTAAATTAAAAGTTTATATGAAAAACATATAACAAAAACGTAATGTCGTTTCTTTCTAGATCGATATTCCGCAAATCACGCAAACTCGCAAAAAACGCACGCAGAAAACGCATAGTGTAGCCAGGCCTTTACCCGCATTATTACGAATTACTCGAGGCGTAGGTAGGTCAGGGCTGCATCATTTTCGGTAGTCAGAGCCTGGATGAAATTGAGAACGCCTCGGCTCAGGTCCACGAGGATGGCACCTGTATTTTTAGCGTGCCAAGGGCGCATACAAACTCGTAAGGAGGGCCGAAGACAATTCGTCAGCAAACATAAACAGCGCCTGCATCTCTGGACATGGCTGCTGACGCACGAACGTTGTCATTAGCGAAAAATAACAGCAATACCTTCTTTTCTTTCAAAACACTGTAGATCATTCAAGACAGGGTAAACATGCCTAAATAAACGTGAGGCGATGGGAGATATACCGGCAACATCATATTCTTACACACTAAAGCTTTCCTCAAACTACATAGTCTGCCATGTTTAGAGGTCGTCCGTTGAGGTACAGTTCAAAACATGCAATAACGCTGTACTCGTATTGTGTGAACATATGTATTACGATGTAACAGCATAAACAATAGAGCAGATTGCACGGTAGAATACACATCGGAAGCACTTGGGAAAAAAAGATCCAAACTCAAATAAATTAAGGCATCAAACAAATTTGATCTATAAATCACACACACTGAATGCAAAAGGCTTCCTCAGCTTTGGCGCCCCACAAAAGTTGATCATTTTTCCATTCGGCGGCGTTTTCGTTCTCTGGGGACTCTGGGCCGGCTGGCGTCCTGTGACAAATCATTGATCAGCGGTGCCGGGTGGCTGTTTTTCTCCGACTCTCTCGGAGACATTCAACGACCCAGATCAATCCTCTCGACCTACCAGCGGCGCTCGTAACGCGCTTTAAAGTGGGCGTCGAGAGCCTGCCAGACACCGCCAGCAGAGCGCGGCGACATCAGCCGTACACACCATCAAAATAAACACGAGAAACAACTGACTCCGTGTCACTGGATGCACGACTTGCGTGACATGTGAGAGCATCGATAAAAATATGAGACGGAGAACTACTAACGAGCGTTACCGTGGCAACGGCAGCAACGGCAGCAACGGCGGTAACGTCGGTTATCCCCCACGCTGACGCAGTATCATTAGCGAGAGAGACCGTCCAAGATTGTGCTCGAGACATTTTCAGCGCTCCAGTGTCTATTTCGGACAGAACTTACAGAGTATCTTCAATAGCACGCCTGTAGCGAGCACTTCGCCGTAATATCGCGTGCGCGTATTCTAAAACTATCGCTAATGAATTCCATCCGGCGCAATTTAGTAGGGGCGGCCGGCGGCTGCGGAGAACTGTTCAGCAGCGTGGGCGAGGCGGGGGAGGCGATAGGAGCCGTTCAGACGACGGCCAGCCTGGACGGACCGCCCCGGGCTCCCCGGTCAGGGGGTGAGGAGGGAACGGGGGGGGGGTCTGACGTCACAAACCACGGATCATAGCAAGCATACAGTGCACCATTGGGGTGGTTCAATAAACAATATATGCTGTAAGTTCAGTGCATAATACCTACATCGGCTTTGATAACGTGAGGTCAGTGTGAGATAGGTACTCAACCACAGCGTTACGCGAAGATTGCAACGCATAGGAATATAACAATGAGATACTCTGATGAACCGCAGCCCAATATCTGCGCAAATGTATGGCATGAATTACCCTCCCCCATTTCTAGACTGTCCGAGAAACTCAATCGCCTGGCCAAATGACTACTGATTCCAAGTTTTCATATTCTCTGAGATACTTTACGATGGAAACGCATTGCCCTCTAAGCCACTCTTCAGTTAACTCAACTGCGTCTTGTCCGAAAATTTGTAGCCGGCACTGCTCGCGTGTATTTTACGGTTATGCTTTCGGCAGTGTGAGCAGCAATGAGCGTTTGTCAGAGCGAAGCCCACTGGCGAGGATACAGTGCGGTAATAATGCCCACTGCTGCAAAACGCCGCGGCGGTCCATGGTCGTGTGGGGCGAATGTCAAGACGAAACGTCCGGGGAATTAGTTAGAGTCGGCGCAGTTTCCAGCGCAGTCGGGCACAATGGGCTCTAAAAGGCTGGCCGACAGTCCGACTGCGGGTGGCGTGGACCGTGGACGCAAGACGCAATATGGTAAGCAAACTTCATGTGAAAATGTAATAATAGAGGAAATAGTGATTAGTGATAGCATACCAAATCAGAGAGAAAAAATGTTCAATTTGTGGGGAACACTAAACATATAGGCAACATGAAATTGCAGAGGCAGTAATCACCAAAAGTTTAATATTTTGGGAGCATGAAGCGGAGGTTCACATCAATCCCTTCGATCGTCGATCAGCAGCCTACGGCGATATCCCGGATAAAACTAAACAGTTAACAAACATGCCATCAAAGGTATAATTAACTCATCCCATTTCACAGACGAGTCGTCAATTCATTTCTCCTCAAAACGGTTTC